TCAATAATGCTTGAACACGAGAAACTACTTCAGAATACATTTGTCGGCCGTAATTTAATCTCATCAGCTCTGCCACTCCACCAAGATACGAACCCCCAGAAAACGTACCACTATAGCTCACGCATACTCTAACACGGGTGCTAGCCATTCAAATAAGTGAACAACAAAAGGAATTAAAACGAAAGAAACAGAAAATTGCAGTAGAGAAGAATGGTGCAGACGTTGATTTGTTAGTGGGATAGCCCTATATAGTACATAGTCAAAAGCCAACGTTCATGAGTTTAAGGTGGGCGTATAATAGTTACTAGCCGGGTAAAATACGGAGATCTAAAGTACAGGTCATTAGTCCAAATTTACCTGGAAACTTGAAGTCAGACCTTATCAGGCCTCAGTAAGACAGTAAGTATCAGTCTAAATTCCAAGACTACCAGTTAAATGTCTCGGGAGAACTTCTAGAAGTCAAGTGAGAGTTATTCAGTTATGTGAAAGTTGAGGATGGTCTGTCTAATAAGACAAGATTAATAAGTTTCCTCACAAGTATGTCCAGTGCCTCGATTCTCAAATTTGGAAAAATTTGAGAAATCGCAGGAGAGATTATTTCTCAGTTAATTTTTCTTGAGGTTAATTTGGCATCAGGAAAAGTGAACACTATCCGATATAGCGTGTCGATGTACGACACATCTTCCGTTCGTGACAGAGAAGATTAATCAACAGCAACAGACAACGCCGAGGTGACAAAACAGAGCCTTCCATACGAGGACGCACGTCGCAGGAAGAGAAAGAAGCCATATCTGAGTCAAAGTACGCCGGAAGATCACGGAGAGTTAGCATATTAGTACAATGAGGTTACTAGCATGAGATACAGATATGATCAGTTATACAAACTACATCGACGTCGCAAGTGCTATGTTCGCCAGGTGCCGCATACAGGCGTGCCGTACTCACTAGATGAAGACCAGGTGTGCCGCATTGCATAGTGCCGCGAACGATGTGCCGCGTCATCGGGTAGGTCTTCACGACAGGTAGTTACATATATTGCTAGTAGTCCTCATTGGTACATGTGCGTATCTCTGAAGTCTTCCGTGCGTACCACAACGACTTGGGTCTCACAACCGAAGTCTATACCGAACATCCAAGAGGAGATATCCAGTGTGCTCAAGAATTAGTTCTTGAGTATCGAGTGTAATCAGTGGAGCACTTTTAAAGTGTTATTATTCTAGCCAGTATTTATCAACAATTCACCTAGTTTGTGAATTGGTGATTCTTCAGTTAGAAACAGAATCTAAAGCTCAGCATTTAGATATTGAGCTCTTAGTATATGCCATCAGTTTAGTATAAGCTCTGAGTTAAGCTTGTACTTTCAGTTTTAGTATTTCCGAGAACGGAAATATTTTAAGGGAGATAGATTGTAACGCCCCGTCTTTTATTAATAAAAGAAAGATACTAGCTTCCGAGTATAAGCTAGCCTTTATAAATAAGTGCTCAGTATTAGTATTCGAGCCTAAGTTATTCAGCTAGTTAAGTTCCAAGTTCGACGATAAGTCGAAAATATCTTCGGTTGATTTTATTTATTAACCAAGTCAAATTATAGTATTTAATCCCGGTTCATTTATTTAATAAATGGACATTAGTAAGTTCGGGATTAATTATTCTAGTGTTGATGTATTAATTGAATTTGATAATATTCGATAAATAGTCAAAGATAAGTTTTGAGCCCAGTTAGTAAGTCATTCAGATATAAGTTCGACTTTAAGTCGATAGTCGATTTAGTTTCATTAATATTCGGTGACCGAATCAGTTTCGGTAATTAATTCCAAAATTTTTATTTTTATAAACAGATATTAGTAGTTGGGATTAATTATTTTAAGTCGACGTATTATTCGAAGTCGATATATTCGAATTAATCGTCGAAGTCGAGTTTCGACCGAAATCGAGTAAATTCGGTCAAGATATTTAACCCTAGCCGAGTTTGGAATTCATGATGTACTTGAAATTTTTCAAAGTATTTAGTAGTATAAATATGTTCAAATAAGCATAAGTGTGACCAATTTCCTAGTGATTGGGCTCATTTATGCGCAAGAGAAGATTTACCGAGAGTCATTTTATTTGCTAAGGCATAAGCATAATTAAGCTTCATTTATATTTGTTAATTATTTTTATAAGTTGGCAAGATGATTTGTGATTCACTTACTTGCTTAGCAAATCCTTAAGAACCTGACACCTATTTTGGTGACTAAGCACCTTAATGTGCCACCAAAATACAAGTTAAGGCCATGTGTCTTTGATTACTTCAACCTCATGCTTATTAACATTTTCATCGTATATGTACGGCTTGGGCTGATTGTAGTGAATTTTTACTTCAAAAAGCATTAGCTAAGTTCACATAATACTCCATTTTATGCTATAGCAGATAGTTAGTTTAGTTTGGCCGAGAGATTACTTAGCTTACAATCGAGCCTATCTTTGAGCAAAGTTAAGTATTATATAGTAAGTGTAAGCTTATAGAGGTGAAGGGTAAAGCTTTCTTGTGCATAGCCATCGTCAAGGGAGCCGCGGGGAGGTGAAGCACGCACGCCTTGTTAGAGGTATGCTGTAAAAGCTGTGTTTTGCAGTTTCTATCAATTCCATTTTGATCTGGCAATCATGTTTCGGTCAAAGTACATATGTTTGCAGTTTATTTATTTATGCAATACATACTCCATATCTTATATTGAGATAGTGTGGTTCGAAGAGTTTCAAACGGAAAGATCACCTATCGGTTCCTTATAAGACTAAACTATTCGTTCACAGTCTAGACTGGCAGTGAGACCCCACTTGGAAAAAGGCTGTAGTGTATTCCCGATTCAGTTTATCTTTGACTGAAGGATTACACTAGCACTTATGTTAAGTGTTGAACAGGACCACAGAAGGATAAGGATATGAGACTCACTGACCGTTGTCGTAACCTAGACCTTCAGTGATTGATGTGTTCTCTTAAGCTGTAAAATAATATAAAATAGGCATATATTATTATTTCTTATTTATTTTATTTACCAAGTGATTCCTATTCCGTTAGGATGACATACGAGATATTTTGGTAAGTAAGAATAATTATATCATGTGCTATTATAGATTATTTACAGTCACTGTGTTACAGTGCGCTGGATTGATGACGTCCCCGAAATGAGATCAGAAAGGAACCTTATGTTAAACCCTGCAGGCAATCGTCTGCCAGCAGGGTTTAACATAAGGTTCCTTTCTGATCTCATTTCGGGGACGTCATCAATCCAGCGCACTGGAACATAGTGACTGTAAATAATCTATAATAGCACATCATATAATTATTCTTACTTACCAAAATACCTCGTATGTCATCCTAACGGAATAGGAATCAGTGACGCGCAACCTCGACAAAAGGCAAGGAAGCCGAAAGCCAGTGCTACAACTGTCAGCAGAAGGGACACTGGAAGGCAAACTGCCCTCTTCCCAAGAAACCCGAAAAAGGTACTCCTTTTGCTTTAGTCGTTGAAACATGTTTAGCGGTGTTATCTACCAGTACCTGGTGTGTAGATACGGGGGCCACTGATCATGTCTGCAATTCATTGCAGGGGTTCCAGGAAACCAAGCGACTTAGGGAAGGAGAGGTTACCATCTACTTGGGCGATGCTAGTAGAGCGTCAGCAGTTGCAGTGGGAGACGTCTATTTAGATTTTGGCTTAGATAGGTTTCTAATTTTGAAAAATTGTCTTTATGTTCCCAGTTTTAGAAAGAATTTGATTTCGGTTTCTATGTTGTTTATGAACGGTTTTTCCGCTACGTTTGATAATAAAGGTTTTGTTCATTTTAGAAGGTTCCTTTCTCTTATTCAGATTAGATGATGAATTAAGT